TCTATGCATCTGGCAATAACTTGCCGATCCACAATTCAAATTCACTCACTGCCTTCATATGCTAATCACACCGCAGAAGCATGCCGAATGGTTACAATGAAAGCAGTTGTTGCCTTTTTGTTCTACGCATGAACAAGGATGCAAATTACCAAAGGTAACTAAAGAGCAATCAAGCTTTTTAGTTCCTTTCTTTTATAAGCAAGACTAGGTCAATTAACTATCGGCTCCATCACTACACCACATATTTGGCTACTTGCCTGGTTTCGGTCCTTCTCTTTATGTTTACCTTTGTTTAACTACTTTAGCACAAAAACTGCAAGAAGTATGCGATTTGCGATTGCCATTTGGATTGGTTCGTCGCCTGATTCCACTTTCTAGTCTAGTCATTTGCTGAAGCTAAAGATGTCAAATTTCGCATCTGGCATAAGAAACAATTTGATGAAATAGTGCTAAATGCTTGAATTTGATACCACCCAAAATATTCCGAGTGTAATGATGACTTTTGTCGCACAAGAACTTGCCAATGTCTAGCTGCATATGCTGCGTATAAATATGAAGGACGCGTCATCAACCTGATTTCCATTCCCTCACCTGTCTTTTTACTTCACTGTCTCAAGTTTTAATAACTGCCATCTCCTGAGTGAGGCATGTTTCAAGTTAGCGATTACTAAAACCTATCAGAACTGTTTTCTGTCTCATGCCACAATCCACGTTAAGGGAAAGAATGCTGCTATAAATGTTGGTTTATTTTGTTGCTGAATTAATTTTCCTCCTTGTAAGCTTTTCAAACAGGTACTTGGATTTCCAAAAGGGTATTTGTTCGACAAGGTGCTGGTTAGCATGGCAGTTTACTATAGCGTGTCCTTTTTTTGGTGCAATTGACACTGACGGACATGACACTGGAGCGTAACATCACAGGCCAATCAGAAGGAGGAGTTTGGTGTTTAGTGTCATCCGCTAAATGATGCGATTGGCTGAGGGGTCGCTGTCACTGCTAGTGGTTGGATTTGGCAGCGCGACTTCAGTAGCATTAGCATATTTTTACAAATAAACTCAAAGCTGAGATAAGTCAGATCATTTTGTGATTTTAATATCGGTTACTTCTGATAGTCAGAAGGAAAAAAACATCGAAGGTGATAGGACGGCTTTCACCAATTATAGGAAATGGCAAAATGCCTTTTTCGAAGTCTTACAACATACACCAAGTTTTGCACGTTAAATCCTGGTCTGGAAGATTTACGCATTGACTTCCCCTTCCTTGATGCAGCGTTGGTGCGGTTGCATCGGCACGTCGCATTGTATCACTTAGTCTGCTTTCTCACTTGTAGCCAATTCTAGCAGTCGTGGACATTCAGTGGAAGGGTGTTCCCTCACCTTCTTCTCGATGCTAACCTACCACCAAGCCATCTCAAATGGATGTGAATATCGTTAGTGATTTCTCCTACAAGTGCTGTCGTGGCTTCTGTCCTCTGATAATCGGTAAGAAAATGGACAAGGAAGTGAATTTTGAGATGTGCTTAAACCTCTTGGAAGAATAATTTGGGATCCGAAACGTAGCAACATATGGCGGATATTTATTTTCAAACGGTAAAGTTAAATGGTTATTCTAAAAACAAACACATTATTAAAGTTGATGTAACAGCGGATATGCTTTGATAATGAATGCCCTTGGTAATCCGAGATGTGTATATCACTGCAAATGATTCATTTACTATTAAAAGCTTTTCCACCGTTTATGGAAGCTTTTGTTTGATGTTCTGTATAAGATCAGCACTGGCTTTCCCCTTTCCTCAAGTTTCAGTGTTAATGGTCAGATTCGTGCCCTGATTATGCCTTGACGTAATCCATGTGGAAAAGCCACCATACCAAAACATGTTACTTACTGAAATTGAAATGCAGCAAAAGAGCGCTGATCATATTTCGCTGGGTGCTAATCAAGGTAACTTGTACGAAACAACTTGATAAACGATTTGACTCGTGGCAAATCCAATCGGCGTAAAGTAAATATGTGGAATAAAGGGCATCATTTTGTGACACATCTGTCAACAAGTAGTAAAGAATTATGGGATGACTGAAGGGAGCATAAACCTTTACAAACGGTCTGAGGCCTGCAGTGCCTCATCGTCTAGGCAATTAAAATATCCACTTATGTTCCATGGATTCTTCTTGATGCCACACTCCCACACAACCTTGGAATAATGCACGAGATTCAGCAGCCCACATCAGAGGTATTAAGCAGTGGAATTCATGGACTGTTGGATAATCAAGTATCGTGAAGCAATCGACAGCTACTGGTTAAGCTTCCTCCATAAACAAGTTTGCGAGAATGGAAGCGTTTTGCCTTGAGCAAAATCCGTCTAAATTGACCTAATCCACGAGGATGCACAATGTGGCCTACCTGTAGACAAGCATAATTCCCAAGTACATAAGAGCAGCATTGAGGAATCCCAACAAATTTGTCAGCAGAATGACTTGCACTAACTCCATAAGAGAGGTAGAGAGGAGAATGGATAGAGTTTAACATCAGATTAAATTTGCTCTCATCACATACCAAAATCATGTGACGCAAGTAAACAGCATGCGCATCCATGTCCCTTTCCATCTCCTGGCCAATTCATTCTACACAGACTTTCCTCCTCGAAATCGCAAAAATCTTCCATTTATGCCTGG